ATTTTCCAAGGCCTGTCATCTAATTCCCCTCAGAAAGCTCCCCACTGCATTCCAGACGGCTCAGCTCCTCGTGAAGCATGTTTTTCGTCTCCATGGTATCCCTCAAGAAATCCTCTCAGATCGTGGTCCCTAGTTCATCTCACAGGTCTGGAAAGCTTTCTGTTCTGCATTAAATTGCAAATCCTCTCTCACCTCTGGTTACCATCCTCAGTTTAATGCTGCGTTCACACCGGGGGCAGCAAAAGCAGCAAAATCGCGTCTGCTGCTTCATTTTTGCTGCTTGTACCAGTAAGTTCTGACGCGCGGCTGAAGCAACTTTGCTGCTCTGCCTGCGCGGTCCAAAAGTGGCTCTGACGCGCGTTGAGCGGAGCTTCACTATCCTTTCTCTGCCTTGCAGCTATATTTGCTGTGATCAGTGGGAATAAAGTAGTTTTAATATGTTTTTAAGTGAGAAAATACACCTGAAAACTTCATCAGTGCAGTCAGTTCATCCAGATTACAATCCTGCCTCCCAATATTATTTCTGTCGGAGCCGCTCAGACCCCCACATACCGGCGGTGCGCCGACAGAAGGAATCCATTCATCAGCAGCCTCTGGCGGGTCGCCTCTTCGCGGTTTACCGCGGCGGCTGGTAGGTGTTTTTCATCTAAATAATCCGATCTGCAGGCACCACAATAATAAAAGCGAACATATTCTGCCGGCAGATGTATATATTTTAAGTTAATTATGCGTTAATAAACTGTTTAAGAGGAGTAATCAGAGCGGTCTGTGTCATCAGCGCACTGCAAAAAATATAAATCTCAATAAGTTATTTTTTCTTAAAATAAGTGTGTTTTTCCTTGATTTGAGGAGATAAGTAAGACACTTTGCCAATGGAACAAGACAATTTCCTTTTAAAATAAGAAAAAAATATTTTATCGTCTTATTTCAAGTAAATATTATCTAACTATCTTATTTTAAGAGTGAAAATACTCATTCCATTGGCAAATCATCTTATTTACCTGCTCAAATTAAGGCTAAATATACTTAATTTAAGCCATTTTTTACTTATTTCTGGATTGTTTTTGCAGTGCGCTGTGTCTCTCTCCCAGCCAGCTCCCAGATCAGCTTCTCTGATTGGTTGACGTGGCGCGTCGAGCAGCAAAAATTCAATTTTTCCATCTCGAGCAGCAACGCGTTTGCGGCGCATCACGCGCGTCAGATGCCAAAACGCACCCGACGCGCTGCTTCAGCTGCTCAGACGCGCTGCGCTTGCTGCTCGAAACGCGCCGCGGGACCTTTTGCTGCGCCTTGACGCGCGTCAACCATTGACTTTGCATGTAAACTCGCTGCTTCTGTCGCGCCAGCTGCCCCCGGTGTGAACGCAGCATAATGGGCAGACGGAGAGGATAAACCAGCAACTCATGTCCACTCTCCGCTGCCTGACTTCGAACAATCCTTCTGACTGGAGTCAGTTCCTGACTTGGATTGAATATGCTCATAACTCCCTTAGATCTGCTTCTACTGGTTTATCCCCCTTTCAAGTGTCCATAGGGTATCATCCTCCACTCTTCCCCGCAGACGAGAGAGAGATAACGGTCAGATCAGTCCACCATCACATCCGCCGTTGCCAGCGTATCTGGAAAGATACCATCACAACCCTCACCCGTTCATCTGCATCAACCAAGAGGTTCGCAGACTCCAGGAGACGTCCGGCCCCTGACTACACTCCAGGCCAAGAGGTTTGGCTGTCGACCCGAGACATTCCCCTGAAGGCTATGTCCAAGAAACTTTCACCCAGGTTCATCGGTCCATACAAAATTGATCAAATAATTAACCCCTCTGTTGTCCGCCTACACCTGCCACCTTCTCTGCGCATCCATCCTACATTCCATGTTTCGCAGATAAAGCCTGTCGTCTCAAGTCCTTTGTGCCCGCCTTCCGACTCCCCTCCACCTGCCCTGGACATTGATGGTCATCCGGCTTACACGGTTCACCGGATCGTGGACTCCCGTCGGCGAGGTCGCGGTTGGCAGTACCTCGTCGACTGGGAGGGCTACGGTCCGGAGGACCGCACCTGGGTTCTTGGCTCGTTTATCCTCGATCCGTCCCTGATCGAGGATTACGAGAGGTCCCTCCCGTCCACATCCTCGGGACCGCCAAGAGGCGGTCGTTGAGAGGGGGGTACTGTTGGGATTTGGAGATTCACCAGCCTTCTCCAGCAGAGTGCGCTGTGGATCTCCTGGGCTGGAGCCCTCCAGCACAGCTGACGTTCATCAGCCCATCAGGAGACCTGCCTATATAATCAGCAGCCAGACCTTCCTTCAACGCCGCAGTGTTGACCAAGTTTGGTTAGCGAACTTGAGCCTCTGAACTACTAGAATCTTTGTCTCTAAGAGAAACCCAATTCTAACCTGCCTCTTGTCTTCTCGCTCATAGGAAACCTGTCTCTCGTCTGAAGCTCTGGATGAGCTTAACCTGTTACCTGCCTGCCGGCCCTAGAGAGCCAAACCTGAAGATCTCACTCTGGAATCCACCTGCTGCTCTTAAGGAAAGAGCTAATCCCTCAAGCCAAGGTCTGTCACTAGAAAGTCAGAAGCTAGACGCTGCTGCTGCTGAGCACTCTGCTAAACCAACAGTCTCTGGACCCAACCTTTTCCCTCTCTCAGAAAAGAAAGCCTGGACCTCTTCAAGACGCCTGAGGATCCTGCCCGGACCAGTTTCCAGAATCCAGTTCATGTTATCTCTGTGAAAACCTTTAATAAACTCTGTTGAACTTTTTACCAAGTGGTGTTCTGCATGTGGGTTTGATTTCTAAACCAACCATGACACTGACCAGTTTTTCCTGCAGATGTCTCAGATCATGAAGGGCTCCCTGCTCTCCTGCTCAGCAGTTTTGCTTCTTCTCCTGCCCTGGTTTGGTGGTCTGGCAGTGGGTAAGATCAGCAAGGACTTTCTCTGAATGTCTTTACTACTTTTACAAGAATATTCCACCAAGAGGTATCATTGGAGCAAATTACCAGCCCATATGCCAAGAATACAATAACATACACTCACTGGCCACTTTATTAGGTACACCTGTCCAACTGCTCGTTAACACTTAATTTCTAAGCAGCCAATCACCTAGCGGCAACTCAGTGCATTTAGGCATGTAGACATGGTCAAGACAATCTCCTGCAGTTCAAACCGAGCATCGGTATGGGGAAGAAAGGTGATTTGAGTGACTTTGAACGTGGCATGATTGTTGGTGCCAGAAGGTCTGGTCTGAGTATTTCAGAAACTGCTGATCTACTGGGATTTTCACACACAACCATCTCTGGGGTTTACAGAGAATGGTCCGAAAAAGAAAAAACATCCAGTGAGCGGCAGTTCTGTGGGCAGAAATGCCTTGTTGATGCCAGAGGTCAGAGGAGAATGGCCAGACTGGTTCGAGCTGATAGAAGGGCAACAGTGACTCAAATAACCACCCGTTACAACCAAGGTGGGCAGAAGAGCATCTCTGAATGCACAGTACATCGAACTTTGAGGCAGATGGGCTACAGCAGCAGAAGACCACACCAGGTGCCACTCCTTTCAGCTAAGAACAGGAAACTGAGGCTACAATTTGCACAAGCTCATCGAAATTGGACAATAGAAGATTGGAAAAACGTTGCCTGGTCTGATGAGTCTCGATTTCTGCTGCGACATTCGGATGGTAGGGTCAGAATTTGGCGTCTACAACATGAAAGCATGGATCCATCCTGCCTTGTATCAACTGTTCAGGCTGGTGGTGGTGGTGTCATGGTGTCTTGGCACTCTTTGGGCCCCTTGGTACCAATTGAGCATCGTTGCAACGCCACAGCCTACCCGAGTATTGTTGCTGACCATGTCCATCCCAACTTCTGATGGCTACTTTCAGCAGGATAATGCGCCATGTCATAAAGCTGGAATCATCTCAGACTGGTTTCTTGAACATGACAATGAGTTCACTGTACTCAAATGGCCTCCACAGTCACCAGATCTCAATCCAATAGAGCATCTTTGGGATGCAGTGGAACGGGAGATTCGCATCATGGATGTGCAGCCGACAAATCTGCTGCAACTGTGTGATGCCATCATGTCAATATGGACCAAACTCCCTGAGGAATGCTTCCAGCACCTTGTTGAATCTATGCCATGAAGAATTGAGGCAGTTCTGAAGGCAAAAGGGGGTCCAACCCGTTACTAGCATGGGGTACCTAATAAAGTGGCCAGTGAGTGTATATCTCTTTGCCACCCTCTATCACAAATGGCATAAGACTCCTCTGATCTCCGCCTACATTATGAATCGTGCAGATGGACCTCGGCCTGCAGTCAACTGGCTGTATGAACCACAGGTAAGTAATATTAGTACCACCATGATTAAGACACATATACCTCTTGTAGGATGTCAGTCCTGAGTAGATAGAATTATTTCTGTTTGATGAAGATAATTATGAATTCGTCCACTTGAGGCACAATTAATCAATGGTAAGGGTGTTGTGATGGAGAATGCAAAACCTACATCACAAACCTGCACCAAAACTGAGAATATGCAGATCATTAAATGTTGGGAGATGCAGTAGTTTCGCTCATATTCAGAGACTTCTTAAAAAGTTCATGTAAAAAATTCATGTAAATCAAAGCATTCCTTACACTACGTCTTAATGTAATGTAACGACATTTCAATAATAATTGAACTTAATTTATACAGTGTTTTTTTTTTCATTAATACTGACAAATAAGGGCTTGATCTTCAATAATTTCAAATAAGGGTTGCTAAATTGCACATGCATTTTTTTTTTAGTATGTGCAATTAATGGGTGTATTATGTCACAAGGCTCAGAAATGAAGGACTCAAATGCAAGACCTGACACAGTGGATTAAAACTCAAAGTTCTTTTAATTCAGTCCAGGGTTGAACAACAAAAAATCCAGCAGAAACAGAAGTATCAAAAAGCAGAGGCAAGACAGGTCCAAATCCAAGCAGGGGTCAAAACACAAGAAGGCTAAATCTAACAGGCAAAAAGGCTGGAACGCTAAGCTCAAAAGACTAAGACGAACTGGCAAAGGGAAGCTGCAAGGGTGGGAACTAAATACTCTAACAAACAAAAGAGGAGCACATACACCAGGTGAATTGCATTAGGCTGTGGCAGATCCTGATTGCAGGAAGGAACTCAGGAAGTGAAGCTGCCTAAAACGAGAGAGGAAATGAGTACCAAAATAAAACAGGAAGTGAAAAGACAAGGTAATAAAAGTGACATCAATCTAATCAGGACTGCCCCTGACATTACCCCTCCCACTAAGTCCGGCTCCAGACGGACCTGGAGTGTCTGGATGCTGATCATAAAAGTCTTGAATGAGGGATTTGTCCAGAATGTTACCGGCTGGCTCCCATGATCTCTCTTCAGGGCCAAAACCCTCCCAGTCAACCAGGAACTGACGTCCACGACCCCGATGCCTCACAGCCAGCAGCTTCTTAACTGTGTAGACTGGTTCACCATCAATAATCCGAGGAGCAGGGGGAACTTTGGTGACAGGTACCAACTTGCTTTCTCTGGCTGGTTTGATATGGCTGACATGAAACGTGGGATGACATCTCATGGTTCTGGGGAGTTTGAGTCTTACAGCCACAGGATTAATAACCTTAGAGACAGGAAATGGTCCGAAAAATCTTGGAGATAGCTTACGTGAGTCCGTGCGAAGGGCTAGATTCCGAGTGGACAACCAGACTTTTTGGCCCGCCCTGTAGACAGGTGCTGGAGCTCTGCGTCGATCTGCAGCCCTCTTGTAGGTCAAAGTCTGTTTCAGGAGAGTCCGACGCGCCAAGGCCCAAGTTCTACGACAGCGGCGGATAAGAGCAAGGGCGGAAGGCACACTGACCTCTTTCTCTAGGGCAGGAAACAGAGGAGGTTGGTAGCCATGCACACAGTGAAACGGAGACAGACCAGTGGAGGAACAGGGTAGGGTGTTGTGGGCAAACTCTACCCACATAAGCTGTTTACTCCAGGAAGAAGGACACCTTGAAGCCAGGATGGGCAGGCCAGTCTCTAATTCCTGATTTAGCCGTTCAGACTGGCCGTTGGTTTGAGGATGGTAACCTGATGAGAGACTGGTAGATGCTCCTAACAGGGAACAAAATGCCTTCCAAAATTGGGAAATAAACTGCGGACCCCTATCAGACACAATGTCAGATGGAAAACCATGAATCCTGAACACTTCAGACATCAAAACCTCAGCAGTCTCCTTAGCTGTAGGCAACTTAGCAAGAGGGATGAAGTGAGCCATCTTAGAAAACCTGTCGACCACAGTGAGAATGGTGGTATTACCTTCAGAATCTGGTAGTCCAGTAACGAAATCGAGAGAGATGTGAGACCAAGGTAGAGTGGGGATTCGTAGTGGCTGCAATAGCCCAGCAGAGAGGGTGTTGGAAGGCTTGTGCTGGGCGCAGACCGGACAGGCCGCGACATACTCAGCGACATCTCTCCTCATTGTTGACCACCAGAACCGCTGCCGTATGACAAACAGTGTACGTTCGACCCCTGGGTGACAGGAAAAACTGGAAGCATGTGCCCAATGGATGACCTGGGACCTAAGCTCTGGAGAAACAAAAAGTCTGTTTGGAGGACATCCATCTGGAGGCTGAAACCCAGCTGCTGCTTGCTTGACCCTCTCCTCCACGCTCCAAATCAGTGCTCCCACAACACATGAAGATGGAATTATATGAGAAGGGGCCTCAGGAGGGGAGGAGGTGAGGCCATGCAGGCGAGACAGAGCATCTGGTTTGGCATTCTTGGAACCTGGTCGATATGACACAGTGAAATTAAAACGATTAAAAAACAAGGCCCACCTGGCTTGACGGGGGTTCAGTCTCTTGGCCCTCCGAAGGTATTCCAGGTTCTTGTGATCTGTCCGAACGATGAATGGGAGTTCAGCCCCCTCCAGCCAGTGACGCAACTCCTCTAGTGCCACCTCAATGGCCAACAATTCCCGATCCCCAATATCATAGTTTTTGTCACTGGCAGATAGTTTTCGAGAGAGGAAGGCACATGGGTGAATCCGGTTATCCCCTACTGAGCGCTGAGAGAGAACTGCCCCCACTCCAGAGTCTGAGGCATCCACCTCGACCAAAAACTGAAGTTGAGGATCAGGTATGGTGAGAACCGGGGCAGAGGTGAACCTGTTCTTCAGTTTCTGGAAGGCATAATCCGCCTGAGGAGACCACTGAAACTTAGAGGTAGGAGAGGTCAAGGCATGCAGGGGTGCTGCGATGGTGCTAATGTCTCTTATGAACTTCCTATAGAAATTTGCAAACCCCAAAAACCTCTGTACCTCCTTTCTAGAAGTTGGGACGGGCCAGTCCCTAACGGCCTCCACCTTGGCTGGATCCATCTGCATCTCCCCCTGACCCACGATGAAACCAAGGAAGGACACCCTGGGAACATGGAAGTAACACTTCTCTGCTTTTATGTAGAGCTTGTGTAGAAGAAGACGCTGGAGAACCTTTCGAACATGTGCGGTGTGGGACTGCTCATCAGGCGAGAAGATCAGAATATCATCCAAGTAAACGAAAACAAATTTGTTGAGCATGTCCCGAAGCACATCATTTATTAGGGCCTGAAAAACAGCTGGGGCATTAGTTAGTCCAAAAGGCATCACAAGGTACTCATAATGTCCACTAGGGGTATTAAAAGCAGTCTTCCACTCATTCCCCTCTCTAATCCTCACCAGATGATAAGCATTCCTTAAGTCCAACTTAGTAAAAATGTTTGCACCTTGCAAAATTTCAAAAGCTGAAGAGATGAGAGGAAGAGGGAACCTGTTCTTTATGGTGATGTCATTGAGTACTCGATAGTCGATACATGGCCGCAGGGACTTATCCTTTTTGGCGACGAAGAAGAAACCAGCACCCGCAGGGGAAGAGGATGGTCGAATGATTCCAGATTTGAGGGCTGAGTCCACATAATCTTTCATAGCCTGCTGTTCTGGTAGGGACAATGAATAAAGACGTCCCTTGGGTGGTGCAGTTCCAGGAAGTAAATCAATTGCGCAGTCATAGGGCCGATGAGGGGGCAACGAAGTGGCCAGAGACTTGCTGAACACTTCCTTGAGGTCGTGGTAGCAGGTGGGAACCTTGGATAACTCAGGAGTATCAGGGTCTAAGTCCTTAGAAGTAGATTGGGTTAATACAGGGGAAAAAACATTTTCAGAACTAAGTTGGTTCAGGACACAATTGCAGTTCCACGACAGAATAGAACCTGTGGACCAATCAATGTTAGGGTTATGCTGAACTAGCCAGGGATGGCCTAGTATTACAGGATGCTCCGGGAAGTCTGCTAGAAGAAATGAAATCATCTCAGAATGGTGGTCAGGGAAAGTAATCTTGACAGGTTGGGTGTGGTGGGACACTGAGCACAAATGACATCCATCCAGAGCCGTGGCCTTCAGAGGTTCCTCAAGGGGAACAACCCTTAGGTTTAACTGTTCTGCAAAGCGAGAATCCATTAGGTTAGCATCAGCACCAGAGTCAATAAGAACTTTTAGTTCAATATTCTGCTCAGAAGTGGTGAGCAAAATAGTAGGACAGACACGTTTAGGACTGACTGAAGAGGATGAACAACTCACCAGGGTTGGTTTCTTCTTAGGATTTCTCCTATTATTTGGGCAGGAGGAGACTCGGTGGCCTGACTGACCACAATACAGGCACAATCCCTCCTGAAAACGGCGTTGGCGCTCCACAGGAGGAAGACGGGTCCGGCCAAGTTCCATGGGAACCTCAGACGAAACTGGTGGATCAAAAGACAAAGAGGGAGCAGGCTCTGGAGCGAGGGGTCGCCAGGAAGTAGCCCCTGTAGCAGCATTATTTCTCAGTGAAAAGTTGTTGGAAGAGGCTCGTTCCCTCCGACGTTCATACAGTCTTTTATCAATCTTTATCGCCAAAGCGATAAGAGAATCCAAATCCTCAGGTAAATCCAGTGGGGCCAACTGATCCTTGAGTTCACCAGAAAGGCCATCTAAAAAAGCATCAAAAAGAGCTGCAGGATTCCAATCACTGCCAGCTGCCAAGGTGCGGAACTCAATAGCATAGTCTGAGACACGTCTCTTGTTCTGCTGCAGCCGGTTCAAAGCCATGGCTGCTTCCCGTCCGGGTCTAGTGTGCTGAAAAATCTGGGTGAAACTCTTGGTGAAAAGATCTAGTGACCCACAAATGGCTGAATCTCTCTCCCACTCACTGGTAGCCCAAGCCTCTGCTCTGCCAGAAAGGTGGCTGATAATAAAGGCAATCTTGGATCTGTCCGTTGGGTAGGAGTGGGGGAGCAGCTCAAAATCTAGGCCACATTGTGTTAAAAATGCACGACACTCACCAGAGTCACCAGAAAACCTCTCCGGACGGGCAAGATGAGCAGAAGGTACTAAAGGTGAAAAGGGCTGGGCAAAAACCCCTTCCTGAACCTGAGATGGTGCTGGATCCTTTATGGTGGGGGGCTGGTCAGAACGCTGAGACCTCTGAACCTTATCCACCAGGAAACTGAGCTGATCAGCAACTGAGGTCATGAACCGGTCTTGTTGCTCACTTAGCTTCTGAATCCCTTGCTGTAAGTGAGCCAGTTGCTCCTCCTGTAGGTTAATGCGTCTCCCCTGGGCACCCAGGGCTTTTAGCACTGAATCAGAGTCTGCTGAGTCCATTTCTTGGCCAGTTCGTACTGTCACAAGGCTCAGAATTGAAGGACTCAAATGCAAGACCTGACACAGTGGATTAAAACTCAAAGTTCTTTTAATTCAGTCCAGGGTTGAACAACAAAAAATCCAGCAGAAACAGAAGTATCAAAAAGCAGAGGCAAGACAGGTCCAAATCCAAGCAGGGGTCAAAACACAAGAAGGCTAAATCTAACAGGCAAAAAGGCTGGAACGCTAAGCTCAAAAGACTAAGACGAACTGGCAAAGGGAAGCTGCAAGGGTGGGAACTAAATACTCTAACAAACAAAAGAGGAGCACATACACCAGGTGAATTGCATTAGGCTGTGGCAGATCCTGATTGCAGGAAGGAACTCATGAAGTGAAGCTGCCTAAAACGAGAGAGGAAATGAGTACCAAAATAAAACAGGAAGTGAAAAGACAAGGTAATAAAAGTGACATCAATCTAATCAGGACTGCCCCTGACATATTATGGGAGAATAAAGATTCCTGCAAAAATATCAAGACATGCAAGCTGTTGGGCTCTGGAGGTTTGTCCACTTTCTCCACCAGAGGGCGTACGAGATCTCCTGGAGCCTGAGCCGACCACATCACCTGTCTCCCATCTGCTCATCAGGAGATCTGTACTTAAGGAGGCGGAGGGCTTCACTCCAGTGCCACAGTGTTTGCCAGTAACGGTTAGCAAGCCTGAGCCAACCTGCCTGTCTTAGATCCCTGACTTTTGTGGACCAAATCTGATCCCGTTTTCTCCTCTCTGCTTCCCAGGTTGATCCTACCTGAATACCTGAAACTCTGGAGAGTTTCTCTGCCGGTGATCTATCTGCTCCTTCTCAGTAGAACTCTGGAGAGCTGTCTGTCAAGTATCTGCCTGCCAGCTCTAAGAAGATTACTGTAAGGAAACTCAATCAGTGATCTGGCTGCACTCTGTAAGCTCTGCCTCCGCCTCTGCCCTCAGC